ACAAGGACAGCACATTGATCATGCAACTTCTTCGAGACAATCTGACTCTTTGGACTTCTGATATAACGGTATATCCCAAAACCTCCACAAATTTTCCGCATCACTTTCTTACTCTATCTCCCATGAGATTTCCTCATTCATATAAACTCTTCCTTCTCTGGGTTTCATGCGCTGCCACGATATTATTCCATTTTAATGCGAAGCATACAACTTCTAATGGATTACGTTTGTTATATTCCATTTTAACTCTCAACATTTGTGTTTTTGAGAAGTAGATTAGTTCCTCTTAGAACGAATTGATCATGTACTCCAACTCATCATAAACCAAAGCTTCTAAGACATTACTTGTTCATAATGTTTTCTTACCCGGACATTATATGGATTGAATTTGGATTAGTTCCTTAAAACATTTATATATATCATGCCACTTTACTTATAATTCTGCAATTTGTGTTTATTTGTTTTGCTATCAGGATGATGCTGGGGACGAGATCAAGGACACTTCAAAACCCGAATCTGGTGAGGAACAGCAGTGACAGTAGCGTTGTAGAGTTGTGAGCACCATTTGTTGTTCTACCATTGAATTTCTTCTGTTGTAGCAAGACTTGAGGGATTTGGTATGTCGAGTGCAGTAGTCCCTTGAATCTTGAAACGTTTTTTGTTATAAGAACATAGAGTCAGTTATAAGGCGTGCAAACTTATTTATTTGTCATGTTTTATTATTATTTTTTTATTTGTACTCTATTTGTTGGTCGCACTAAGCAATATGTATTGAATTGGAGGATCAAATTTATTTTGCAAGTTTTATGATTTCTGTAGTACATCATTTGGATTCAAGCCTTGTTAAAAGTTAAAGTTGAAGAGAACCAAAGAAACAAACACTTGAGAAGAGTCAAATAGCATTGCAATTTGCCATTTTTGGCCACTCCAGTATCTTTTTTATCCATTGCCAATGCATGTTACATCAGCCAATTACATGGGTTCTTGTCTTTTGTAGAACCGATGCCTATACATAAGTGGTGCACATGTGCATGCACGATTCAGTGACAAGTGGCGTACTTGCACTTCAAAATGACATCAACCGTGTAAACGAAAATCGACGTCAAAGCATGTTTTTACGTGTATATATGTACATATAACATTATATAAAAGTTATCCTTACATGGTATCAATAAACAAATTACCTAGCATGCTGCTTATCTATATCGTCAGATAGAGGGGAGGTTCAATAATAGGAAGTAAATGATAGATTCCCAGCTACTTGGACTGAAATCAGCACTCAATTTGCAAAAAATTGAACGATTTATTAATGAGAGTAGATGGAAGCAAAAAAAGATACAAATTCAAGGCTATTAGAGAGGCCCTGTCTCTCCCCCAATACTCCAACAGAATAACCAATGCCCCCGTCGC